GGGGGTATGCGCGTTTGGCCTCCCGGTTTGTGCTCACCGTGCCGGCAGCCCGTGAAATGCTCCGTCATATTCTTGGATTTAGGGATTTATTTATTTTTTTAGGAAAAACGGGGGTGGTTTAGGGCGGAAGGAAAGAAAACAGAAGCGTCCTTCCCGGGCTATGGGGTGCATCGGGAGTGCTGCGGTGGCAGCTGATGGAGCGGGTGCTTCCCACAGCTGGCATCCCCAAAAGATGCATGGTTAGTGTTACATAAACTGCAAGCCTCCGTGAAGGTTTACCCGGCTTTAGGGTGGCCGGGCTCAGCACTGTGGGCTTTGGTGCAGTCGGGAGCCTCCGCTTCACTTTTCCGATCATCTCTGCTAGTGCTGATTGTGTAATAGTTCGGAGGCAGGGTTTATCCGTGCTCCTCGTTTCAGGCTGTGGTGGCCACTGACGCCAGGCTGGTTCGTTCCCTTTTCTGTCTGTGATTCCTGTCACTTTTTGTACTTCTTCCATCCAAAACCATGCAAGAGGAGTCATTTTCAAAAGATCGCCTAAAATAAGTTTTTTAATCTGTGGACAGGATTAATAAAATCAATTGGCAAAGAGGGAAGCAAGCAGCAATTTACTGATACTAACGGATAATATTTATGCTAGATGTACATCTTCTCCTCCGTTATGCACGTTCTGGATGCTGTGCTTGCCCTTCTCTTATTGATCACCAGCTCTGTGCCAGCCCTTTGCCATATTGCTTGTGTGGCATTGCTTTATTTGACGGATTATTCCCTGTACTTGCCTCTCACTCCTGTCAATGTGTCTCCTCCCTGGGAGTGCTGGTGCTGCGGTGGCACCATGTCGGTTCGATGGTGGTGCAGCAGGTGGTTTCCACCTGCAGTGAAAGCCCTGATGTGGCAGGGAGCAGGGTACCTTTGCTCATAGCACAGCTCAGCCTTACTCTGGGTGGTGAAATCTCTGTGGTCATCCCCTTTTTGGTCCTGCGTTGGTCTCATACCAGCTTTTTTTTTCTTAGTCTTAGTCTCTTGTGTCCCTCCATTCCGTCTCTGTGAGTTTTCTCCCACCTTCATTTCTCACAAGCATCCACCCTAACAGATGCTAGCCCCATGTTCCTGGTGGTGCCAGCCCCTTCTTCTTGCCGCCTTCTCCTTTTTTGGCCTTTTCGGTTTTTTACCTTGTCCTTCAGGTTGTCTTTTCTGTTCTGTCCCTATCAGCTCCTTTTCTGTGCCCTGTTTCTCACTTTCTATTCTCTCAAGTACTCCCGTTCAAGGTAGCTCACTGCCTGCTCCCTCTCCCTCTGGAGAATTGCAGTCCCCACCTCCCCCTGCTTTCTCTCTCTTTTCTGAGTCTTTTTCCTTGGCATTTTCTCTTTCTCTCAGAAGACTGTGTACTTACCTCGGACTCCTACGATCTCTGTTTGCCACTGTCTATTCATGTTTTCCATCCTATTATCCTACTTACACATGAGGTAGCATTTATCTTTCTTTTTCACTGTCTATACACATAAATATCCTCTCTCCTTCTACCAGCTTTTGCCTGTCTAAACTTAGATTTATATCTTGAACTACCTTTCTTTTTTATCAGGATCCTTCATGTAGGACGTATTGCTATCTGATAAAGTCCTCTCTCTTTTCTCTTAAGTCCCACTAACATTTTCCATTGTATCATGCTTGATCTTGATTTCCAGTTCTACTTAAAACTTTTTACTCAGTTCCTCCTTTCCATTAGGACTGGTTTGGAAACTGAGAAACACAAGGGAATTTTTTTGTATTTTGACAGTACAAGGAACAAGCCGCCGGGCTAGCGTTCTCTTTCTTTTCTTTCTCTTTGCCTATTGCCTCTTCTCTTTCATCTTCAAGATCACTGTTTAAGAACTGCACTCTTCCTCCTCAGCTGTTACCCCACTGTGACCTGCCTCTTCTCTGCAAACAGCAAGTCAAAGGTAGGGCAGGGAGCGGGATCTGCTGATCACAGCATTTAAATGATACTTTTCCCCTCAATATTCCTAAGATGCCACATACAGATACATTATCACATTTTATTTTTTCTGTATTCCTGCATAGAAATGGTCTTGTCAGATTTACAACATATATTTTCCTCTAGGCCATTTTTGAATAAATATTTTTGCTTTATGTCAATACAGCGTGAATATAATGCCAGCTTTTCATCTTGGGCTCTCATAAAAGCATATAAACAATTGAAATGAATAGCACAGACAGAGTTTGAAGAAATGCTTCAGAGATCTTGATGAAGTGGAGGAAATTGTATCCTGAAAGTTGCTGATGCTGGAGCAAATGACATAATGAAACATGTCATTTTCACCAAAGCTATTAGCTAATCACTTCTTCAAACATTTATTATGTTCTTTTCCCAGACTGTCAATGCTGAGGAGCAATTGTTTACTTTAAGGAGGCTTTAGGAGCAGACTAGCTTTTAATAAGAATTACATGAAAATTGTGTCCATTTAATCTCTTGAAATTCAACATTACCTCTCCCTAAGAAGTATCTGATGAGACAGGATTGAGTTCATAACTGAACAACAGCAGTCAAGGCTTATGTCACATCCTGCAGTTTAAAACCCATTTATTGCTCAAAAATCATTCAATTAATCAGATTATTAGTCCCAAAATAGTGTCTTATATTTTGCCTACCGGTGATGTCAGTATTGCTGATATCACCTGAAAATGAAGATCACAGAGGTATAAGTCCTTGGTTTGAAAGGAGGAGAGAAGTTGCCACATGGTACTCCTTGAGGCTGTCCTCGTAAGGGTGCCCAGATCATCTGAATGATTTTGCACATTCCATTCATCTTAGCGGGTAAAATAGCTCAGATTTGTGTTTGCTTTTTTTATCTAATCACTACATGGTTGATGGTCTGAGTGCGCTGTATACACTACTTTCATACAAGGAATCCCCAGCAACGCGGGGACATGAGGGGAAGTACAAGTACTGGTAGCAGTTATTCCAAATTGGGTCAAAAGCACCACTGGGAAAAACCTCATTTCATGTCCTTGATGCTCTGGAGAATTCTTCCGTTCCTTGGGTCTGATCCAAAGTATGAGGACAACTTTGCTGGAGAGCTACTGTAGGAATTACAGGGGAAAAAAAAGAGGTAGAGATTTGTGACTCACAAGGCTAAAGACTTTGGACTTCTCCTTCCAGAGTAGGGTAACACTGGCAACTTAGTTCTCTTCTCTCCTCATGTAAACTGATGGAAGCAGAAGAGTTCCTGAATATTGATTCTGGCTCCTGCCTACCTGATCGGTACAGGCATTGTTGTATGGTAGGCAAATTAAAATGCAGTCACATTGCTACTGTGCCCTCGTAGTGAAACCGGGCTGGATGAAACAAATCTTTCCCTGTATGGATATATTGCCATATCCCAAAGCTTTCTAAAACTTTAAGGGATAGAGTGAGACAATAAAAGGTAAGTAATTTGATTTCCTATTCTGTAAGGTCTCAATATCATTCTTTTGCAACAGCTTGCCACTGAATATCATAGTAATAAAGACAATAAGACAATATTCCTGACTACCAGCTCTATAAATAAATATCTGCCTAATAAATCAGAGCAAAAAGGGCAACATAGGCCACTGTGTGTTTAGGTCAATTGTTTGCTTTTACATAAAATTTTAGTGGTCGTAGGGGTAAAGATAGGAAAACACTACTGCGTTGCCAGTAAGGAGGGTATAAACTGTTAGCTCTACTTTGATTGACATTATCTACAGATTCACCAGGGGAAATGTATTAGCTGTGAAAGGAAGATCAGAATTTAGCCTATTGTCCTTGCTAAATTTTTCAGACTTCTGCCCCTATGTGTGCTGGTACAAGAAATACAACTACCAATTTATAGGAAGTGTCTTACAATTTATTGAATGGTTCAAACTTCTCTCATGTCAAACAGCTGACAATTTTCCAACCTATGAATATTAAAAATGCAACCCATGGAAAGTGCTCAGTGCAACGGATCTGGGATAGATTCACACAGGATTGGTCTTGTGTCTGCTGGTTTCTGTGAGGTTTATTACTTGCATGTCAATGAAGGAAGCAGTTTAAACTCCGCTCTATGTGTGCATTTTAAATATCAACCATAAAACCATTCAATCCTGATTGACTACCACATTACACATGCGCATTGACATTTAGACGTGGAGAAGTGTGTATTACATTTTCTGAAGTGGAATGATTGAATTTTATTTCCACTCTGCACTCTCTTTGGGTTATCCTGAAGGCAGGATTCACTGGAGAGCAAGGCCCCCATGCATTTTTGACACTGTTTTGGTCTAAGATGACTGAGCTGTTGGTGGTTTTGGGCCTTATTAAAAAATCGGCGGCATGAGCCTGCTCTAGGATACGTACCGCTGCCATCACAGCGTTGTTTCCCCTCCGCACTTCACCCGTCGCAGTACTTACCTGTCAGGGCAGCATTTTGGCAGCTGCCCGCATGGATCAGGTATGGAGGTCAGGAGCAAGGTCTGTGTCTTTTTCTGCTGTCTTCCTCCTATGCTGGGCAGTGATAATTTGCTCCGACCCAGGAGAAGTCACACGGTGGCATTGTTTCTAGGACTAAGAAAGCCTCGAAAGAGTATTATGTTACTACCAATTTGTTTAACAGTGGCCTGTGTTATCTAGATTTCAGAGTTTCCTAATTTTGCCTTACATATTGCGTTGCATGCCTAGTAAGTGAATCCGTAAGTCTATAGACAGCAAGATTTTAGCCTTTTTTTTCTAGCATCACCCAGGAGATACCTCATGTGCCCACAGTTACAGGGTGTTACTTCCAGGCAGGAGGCAGACCAAACAGTATGGGAGATGCATGAGCAATACTTTTCCTGTATCGGGACTTTATATGCAGAAGAGAAGGAGACGGCAGAGAGCTAACCTGAAACCCAGGAGGATGTCCTGCAGCAGGACGTGTCAGCAGGATGATTCAGCCTCTCTAACTGTGCCCAGCCCCACCACAGAAGCAGACAATACAGGTACCAGTTAGCACGTTGTTTTCTGTGATGTTTCCCTGTGGATCTGGACTAGCATCGTCGTCTCTCATTACAGAGCAAGCTAAGAGACATAGGCTGCCATGGACACAGGGAAGACCTGAAACAACATGAGGTAGCACAGGGAGACGATCTCTTTAATTGCACAAAGAAATTAAATTACCTTCCCTTCCATGCTCTGATTTTGAAAGAACAGCACACTACACTGAAACTTGCCTGGCTTGAATGCAGAATTTGTGTGTGTGTGTTTGTCCAATGTATCTACCAAAGTGGTTTATTTCTGCTTTTTTTTTTTTCACCAGAAAGAAACACCGCTTGCCAATGCTGCGTTTTGGGCTGCAAGAAAAGGAAACCTGGCTCTCCTCCAGCTGCTGCTGAACAGTGGGCGAGTAGATGTGGACTGCAAAGACAGTGTATGCACACAATGCACCTACACCCACGGCACTGATTTTACATCGCTTTCTATAGCCCGCTGCGCTGAGGGTGTGGCAGGGATTTAACATGAGACATTCGAGAGTCTTATGGCACTTAGGGATGATTTAAAACCTTCTCTTGTCAGGAAGCAAGTTTGAAACGCAAGATAAAATAGCGTGATGATTTACATCAGTGGCAAGGGGTTAGGAATTTGCCAGCACTCAAAAATGTGTCTTACACAGTTATTTGTGGCACTGACATTAAAAACATAGATCCTAGCACCTCGGGCTTCCCTTTGCAAGAAAATGTCGTTGTAGTTATAGATCATGATGAAGAGTTGACTCAGCTGAGCCCAGGTAGCAATGATTCTGTCAGCTAGCAGAGCTCCTCATAATTAGTTTTTTAAAAAAATAACCCTGGACCACAGTTTCCATGTAGACAATGTAGAAGTTTGCATTTGATGTGCAGCCATTCCCGCCCCGTGTGGCATGCAGTGTCCTACAGCCTGAGGTGCTGTCAGAAGAGCTGCTAGCCTCCTAACTTCTTCCTCCCCGTCCTCCCCAGCATCTCCCATACTGTGCCCAACATGAAGGCACAGTACGACTTCCAAAGAGGAGCCCAGACACATGACAGAAAGATTTCATGGGGATTTCCTTACTGTAATTGGCATGGGTTGAAATTAGTTTTGAGATTAGAAGTGGGTTGAAAACACAGATAATGGGTATGTCTTGCTATTCTGCCTGCAACATATGGAGAGATACGTGATTGTACTAAGCTACTGCAAAGAGCAGGGGAAAACCGAGGCTGAGAAGTTCCCAGGTTTCTTTTGTTTGGTGCTGGGACTGACTTACTGAGAGCCGCGCTTGTGTTGTACAGGATTAGTGCCACTTCCAGCCTGAAACATGAACCTGCCACAGCTTCTCTCACTTTGAATACCTTCAAAGTGCAAGAGATTTTCTAAGCCCATTGACTTTAACATATCTTTTCATTTGCATTTTACTTTTGCCCTGTAGGCAAGTATTTGTCCTGCAGTACTTCTGGAGCTGATGCTATGACTGTCATTCTGACAGGGAGGGAAGGATGTTCAGATGGGGGCATGAAGTAAACAGGACGGAGATTGATGTAAAGAAATAAGGTCCACTACTGCTCATTTTTTTCTCAAAAGAAGGCTAACTTTGGTCAAGAATGTTTACAATGCACTGTAAAATATCCTGACTTATTAATTGTATCAGGCATACACATTTTCTAGACTAAAATATTTTCGTACGATTAAGGCTGCATGCTTCTTTTTTGTAATGTCACACATTCCTTCTTTAAATTGAACTGGTATAAATGTTTTAGAAGGATGAATTTCATCCTTATGCATGTGGTTTCCGCGTATTGTCCATACACCATATACATATAACCTAATTACTTGGTTCACTGGAGCAGTGACCTTATGGTGTACTGAGGGAACTTGAATGCATAGTTCTGGTACGGAAAGTTCTCTCATATAATGTGAAGAGTCAGAGCTTGCTTTCATCTTTTTGATAGGGAATTAGTATTCAAATCACCTGGACCTTACTCCTGACTGTGACTCAGAATTAAGTGACTCAGCTAAGTCAGTTAGCTCCTGTGTCTAAGGTTATTCTTCTGGAAATGATGCAAAGATCTTTGGGATTCTCTGATAAAAATGGTGTGTACAAACCAAAAATATTCTTGTTATTCTTGTTGCACTTATTTTGGGACAATAAGGCGAAGTCATTGCATACATATTTGTTGAATGGTCAGGCCTTAGCACTGCAGGCAAGTCTGTAATGTTTTTGCTTTAACACTTGCTAACTGATCATTTTCAAAGTATTCTTGATAGTAAGTTTTAAATGATAGCAAGTTTTTCAATGATCATAAGCTTCCTTCAGCTTTTCAGAAGAGGTGCTGTCTCTTCCAGACAGCCTGATTTATTGCTGGAGGTGTCTGTTGAAGGTACTGACTTGTTTTTCCTTACTCCCAGCTTGGCACAACAGCTCTGATGGTAGCATCTTACTATGGCCACATAGATTGTGTACGGGAATTGGTGTTGCAAGGAGCAGATATCAATCTGCAGAGAGAGGTAGGAGAAGTTCTGCATTCAAACAGGGATTGATTAAGTGACCGTTGGTTTATTACAAATAATAAGTGTTGTCTGTTGCTTTTTGCCAACTGGTTATTTGTCACTTGATGTGCAGTGCACGTATAAACAGGGTCTGTTCTCCTGAGGACATCAAGGAATCAGATGTCTGGAGTTTATAATAGAAAATTAGATACCAGAGGTGCATTTATAAATAATTCATCAAACATTTCCAGCACATCTGGTTGGTGAGGGGCGGTTACATCTGAGATGTAACCCTCCCAGGGTTACACCATTTATGCATCTGTGGTTTTACTTATTGGCACAGTAATTACAGCTCTCTGGATGGGATAAATGATAAGGAGAAGTCCTTTACCTTTTGATTTGCCGAGTCTGGTCATTAAAATGGAGTGGATGCCATTGCTAGCCCGGGGATTACTTTGACTTGGTGTGCTTTGGAGTTTCTGCCTTTTAGTCTGAGCCAAGCCATTTCTAACAATCACACAGCTTAATCACCCGTACCCTTCCCTGCATCTCTGCTTTGCATTCAAGGCATCTCTCGCACCATGACGTGCTTGCTTGTGGAAGGGACAATGTCAGTGGCTGGTTTTGGGAAAGTGCTTTCCCCTCATACTCCACGCAAATGGTTGTAAGGAGTACCTGCAGCCACTCTGCTCTGTGTGCTGGCTACACAGAGAGCAAATTGCTCTGGGACAACGGCAGCTGTACCGGTCCAAAGAGAAGAGCAGTCTAAGGAGGGCATGCAGTAACATGGGATGGTGGCAGGCAGTGCAGGACAGGAGTATGCTCATCACTTGAACAATACAAGCAAATGTTTCTGACTTTCCTTGGTTACCTGGAACTAGAGCATTAATGTCATGCTGACGTCTGCAAGTTACTGAGTCAGTGAATGCCATGTTTGATGATATAAACATCTTTGCACTTACTGGCCTAAACTTGCTCCAACCGTAACTGTCAGTGTCTTTCAATGGGGTCCTGTTCCAAAAAAACATGTATTTAAACATGTCCCTTCCCTTAGGTAAACATTGCTTGAAAAGCAGCAACAAAAGGAAAAGTTGAGAACAGTTTTATGGAGCTGCTCTTGAGTATCACTCAGGACATACTGATTCAGCAAGCCAACCGAAAGGGAAATGCTGAAATCCTCCAAAATCACTCTGTTGCAGAGAGGAAGCAAAACAGATGAAGTTTAAGCCCTAAAGACCTATGGCACTGTTCTGAAACTAAATCCACATACTCAAACCAGTGCTGTTGTACTCTGAAATTGCTGTGAAGCTTGGGGAAGTGAGAGCTCCATAAGTGTGTCTGGAAGAGGGGGCTCTGAAATGGTCTCAAGGGGCCATGTGCTATTGTAAAGGCTTCTGGCACTGGAGTGAATTTCATGTGTAGCTCCCTTTTCCTGCACCTTATGCATGGGATGAGAGAGCCCAAAGTCAGGAAAGCCTGCTTGTCTCCCTTCTTTCCCTTCTTTCCTTTCTTTCCTTCCTTTCTTTTTTCTTTCCCTCCTTTCCTTCCTTTCCCTCCTTTCCTTCCTTTCCCTCCTTTCCTTCCTTTCCTTCCTTTCCTTCCTTTCCTTCCTTTCCTTCCTTTCCTTCCTTTCCTTCTTCCCTTCCTTGTTCCTTCTGTCCAGCCATTAAAATCTTACTTTAATCATTTTTTGGGTCCTGATTTACTCACATGTTAATGATAGTATTTTATACAATTAGTATAAAATATGGGGGTTCAGGTCTTCAGTGAGGTTGAGGGAAAGCAGGAGTTGCAGGGCTGGTTGTAGCTGCTTGAAGGCTGCTTGGCTGGATGGGGATCTACTGCTGCACGAGACAAGGATGACTTACGCCAACAGCAGTCACGTTTTGTCAGTGGAGAGTCAAGCAAGGTGGAGCCCTGCTGTACTAAATAACTGGCTCCCTGGTCTTTCCACACCCTGATCCAAATCCATCCCATGCTCCTATTTGTCTCAGGTTGTAGCGGCAGGTGGAATAGGGGTTGGTTTCAAAATGGCCGTTCCTCTGTTGTGCAAGACTGCCCTTTTCTCACTCTGGGCTCGTTTTCCCTTTCCGATGACTGAGTAGAAGTGAGTGAATCCTAAGAGCTCTACATCAGAAACTCTGTGCAGAAGCCCCTTGTGAAACTTGGATTTTACTCAAATGTATGATGCTGGACAGATTTCTCAGTGCAATGGGAAGAAAACTGACCTAAGATACCGGGTGTCCTCTGGAGTCCTCAAAATCATCATGTCTTTTCAGCTGTTATTCAACTGATTGTGCTCAATACTTTTTAATTTGAAATGTGTGTACTTCAGTCAAGTGTGTAATGTATTTGGGGTTTTTTTAATCAATTTTTTCCTTACAGTCAGGTGCAACTTCTCTGTTCTTTGCTGCACAGCAAGGCCATAACGATGTAGTGAAGTTTCTCTTTGAATTTGGAGCCTCCACTGAATTTAAGAATAAAGTAAGATGATGGGTCTATTTTTGCATGCTGATACATTCTGACAATCAAGGCTGTTTTTCCCTACTGACATGAAACATGACATGGCAGCAGGAAGATGATAAAACAATTTCCTCACCTGAAGATTTTCTGAGTAATATGAGTAATGCAACATATTGTGAAAATACTAACTTGGAACTAGCTTTTACTACCCAGACTTAATAGCGTAAGTTGATCAAAGATCAGTCCCTTGGTAGTGATATCAGTCTTTCCTCGTAAGCCATCCTCCAATACAAGAACAAAGGGGTTTTTTGTACACGTTAGGTAGGATCCCATTTTAGGTGTATATGTATTTCACTTGTGTAGACTGAAATTTGATCTACTTTGGGATGTCTCTGCATACCACCATAGAAGACATAAGAGTATAATGGCTTCAGTCCTCCCTAAATTCCTATTTACCCATCTGTGACAAGAAGATGAAATGCACCTCAAAGCTTCTATTTCTTTGTTCAGGCAGGTCCTTTTTCAAAATCTTCTTAGAATAGCCAAAAGCACAGATGGCAGAGCCTGGGTCTGGTTCATCACCCCTCATGAGGTGAACAGCATTAAGAACAGCAGTTCATCACTGACAGGAGTACATCAACTCAGTTTCTTTGCCCAAGGCAGTACTAACACCTCTGCTTTCAGCAAACAGAACCAAAAGCACCAGATTTTCATTAAATATTCTTGCCCTTGACACGCTGGCCACATTTTGGAGCATTCCCATGATCTGGGGAGGACACTTGCCAGTCACTTACCCTGGGATCCATAGCGATGTGTTTGAAGAAGAAGGAATAGTTCTTTACCCCACAGTAACCAATTTTTGAAGATGGTATAGTCTGTGATTTGAATGTCTCCCTCAACCCATACCTGCTTTCCAGAGTCCCTGGAAATAGGGGCTTTAAGGGAATTGATGGAACACCAGAGACTCAACTCCTTATGCTCCTGGGACTAAAAATCCTGAGGTTTTGTGGCCAGAGTCCGCACACGCCATTACAGCAGGATTCCCGTACCCCAGGGAGCTATGCTTGTGGTTAGCAACTCTCTGACCACAGCAGCAATCAGTAAACTTAAAAACATGAATGAAATTGTGGCTGTTTAACACAACATGGAGTGTACCTGTTGGAACTTGGCAAGGTAGGAGGTTGCAATGTTAAATACAACAGCTGGATTTTAAAGTGCTGGATAATCTCATGTGGGACAAAGTTATTGGGAGAAGCTGCGGATTAAAATATAAAATAAGGGTTGCTTCTCAGTCTTTTTTTTCAGGGTATAGGTGAGGGTTAGCAAGATTCAGAAGGATCGTCTTCTCTTGCATTCAGTTGTATACAGTTGGGTGAGTGCACTTACACTGTTCTTTGAGTCATCTGGCCTATAAAAAGGCCACAAAGCCATGCTGAAGGAGCAAACGTGTCCCAGGCGTAGGAAGACCCTGGACTACTCACTGCAGCTCAGCATGCAATTGGGCAGTGTTTTTGCAGAGTGTGAATGCCGAAAACTTACAAAGGAGGGAAGATGGAGGCTGAATACCTTATTCTCTCTAGAGGCGCAGTTACATCTTCATCAAACCTTTGTGCAGCCTGTGAACTAGGAATTTGTGAAGAAGCCAAGACTTGGCCCAGAAGGTGAACAGCAGGCTTGAAATTGCCTGATCCTTCATGACAATATATGATTTTCTATGAAGCATGCAAAATATATTGATGTGAGTCACTAGGGCAGATAAAAGGGAGTAAAGATCTAAATGATAAGAAATACTGCATTCAGCCGCTCCTAATGGCTTCCATCTTTGGACAAATGCAGGTTTGAGCTCTGCTGTTGCTCACCTTGAAACTTTGCTCCCAGCCCCCATATTCCTGCCTGCCTCCTCTTCTGAATTCAGACCTGACTTGGCCCAATGTGCCAAGTATCTTTTAAGCTGCAGGTTGCTCTTCCTCTCCAGGCCACAGTTTTCTGCCACTTCAGTCGAGCTGGTCATAAAACAACACCAACTTCCACGGGACATAATATGACAAACTGGCGTGCGATGTGTATGTAAGGCTATTTTCCAGCAGCATCAAATGTGCCTGTCCAAGCACTCCCTCCTTCTCATCGCTTCATCATTGAGGTGTATCAGTCGCTTCAGCACTCAGAGTATGACACAAGGTATAGTGCCTGAAAAGACGTTTAAAAGCTGGAGAAAGGATAGCTGCGTTAAAATTAATCTGTGCAAGATTAAAGTGACACTGGTTTAAGAAGTTGAGGTTAGCTGTCATGTCCATGCCCTCTTTGCTGAAAGGATCTGCTCTCTCTGAATAGTAGTATGAGGGCTTTGCTAGGTTCATCATTAATGCTGGGACCTATCCTGGAAATTGCCATGTTCATTCTTTCACTCATTACTTGCCTGGGGACTGCAGCTCTTCTTCTGAAATGAGGATCTAGACAGAGGAATCCAAATGCTTACAGATTCCAGACTGGGCTTTGGTAACCCACCGAATTTTTAGACTGAGGCTGGGTAGGAAACCAACTTGTGCAGCAGTGTGTACCTGAGCAGGAGCCACCACTGAGAACGTACTGCATTGACAGTATGCATCTTCCATTGGCCTTCTAGTGTGTTTTTCTATCAACCAGTTCAATTTTCTGATTTAATGATGTGGTTTTCATAGCTTGGAATTATTCCATCAGACCATGGTTCTGTTAAAAGGCGACTAAGATAACAGGCTCCTCCATCCCCTGCCCCGAAACAATATAGTTGACAAAATATGCCTTTTCAGAGATAAGGCATTTTCCGATTAAGGCATTCAGCTGGGAGCAGCGCTGTAAAAGATATGGCTGATCCTGGCTATTTTTAAAGGGCACTGCAAAATTAATCCATTTGCAAAGAACTTTTTATTATAAATGAAGATGTGGAATTGAAATAAGAAAAGAAATTGAATGTATCTTAGGAAGCAGAGACTTTAAAGCAAGGAAATGCAAAGCCCAACATCTTCTTTTTCATGTACCTCCTGTAAATTGTAATTACTACATTTGTTACTCATATACAAGATTGCTGGAGAACTATCTTAATATAGGATTCAATCCCTTGTATCATTAGAGTTGATATTCACTACAGAAGGCAAAGCAAACATTCTAAAATAGTGTAATAATGTAATTAGTAATAATTGCTGATATTGTAAAGAGAATAAATAGTACTATTGAAGGCTATTATATATTTATTATAAAATACGTATTACTCAGTAATACTATTCTGCATTGTCCCAGTCTGGCATCCTTAGAAGTATGCATGATAAATTGAAACATGTTCTCTTTTCTTACTCTGAGAGATGTTATAAGCATGTGGGTTCTTAAAAGGGTTTGCATGGTGGCATGTTTTCTGAGCAATACTGCAGGTCGAACAGCATGTCAGAGGCAATTTTTCAGCAGGTTGTGATTGCAGAAGATCAGTTCCCCTCCCTTGTAGCATATGTCAGAGATGATAAAACACCATATAATTCTAAGCTACTTTCAGGTGATGATGACAGAGGTGAAGGAAGAGGCAGGGAAATAGACAGGGAAGTCTACACCAGATAGCGTGGTCCTATCGGGTGCTGCTGTTCCAAGAGCTTACATGGGAGATTGGCAGTATGTGCCACCAGTAGGGAGGACAGACTGTGTGGGGATAAGAAAAACGGTTTCAGAGGAAGAATTGCAGAGACAGCTGAGAGAACTGGCTCCTATCTGAGCTGGAAGGGTTTGCAGTGAAGGATTGATAGAAGCTACATCATGTCAGGAAAACAGGATATGAACAAGAAGTAAACCCAAGGCGATGTGCCTTCTCTCAGCTGCACCACCGGCCTCCTGCTCGCTGCAGAAGGGCAATTGCCCCAGAAGCGCCTCTGTGGTTGCTCACGTGTCCCTGCTCCCACATGTTGCCTTGCTCAGAGTTTCCAAGAGGCTCGCCAGTAGCAAAGATGCTGCTTCAGCTTTTTACTCGTCTCAGCTGAAGCCAAAAAGGAAATAAAAGAGGGAATCACACAGCTGAAAGGAATTTTAAAACTCTCACATTTACTTCTTTTTTTTTTTTTTCTGTAACTCATTTGCCTTCCCAATAGCCTATAAAACATTGGGGTCTCCAGCTAGAACTTGCTGGAGGAAAGGCTCTTGTGCTGGCAAAAAGAGAAGAACATGTAAGAGAAAGCAAGACGGAAGCTCGATAGGGGTGGGAAGGGGCTGAGTTTTTCTCCTCCTAAGAAACCATGGACCTTCACACTGACAATTCCTCAATTTAACTGAGTGCTGTCTCACCACATGGTCTTTTCAGTGAAAAAGATTTCTGGTCCCAGCTTCCCTTTTCTTAAAACAAGACCTGTCTCTTTATCAGAGCATTCAAATGAATCTCAGTCTCTTCTTTTGAATGTATTCAACTTCACAGGAGACACAGTAGAGCAGGTCTTAGAGCCCAGTTGTCTTCCTGATCAAGGACCAAACCTTTGAGCCAAGTTGTTACCCAGTTCTCTCTGGCCCAGTAAATATTTGCTTCAGGGTGGGCAGCTAGAACTGGGGACTACCCAATGCTTTTTTCTGATCCCTGGAACTCTGATCAGGGTGATCTAGGAAACTTGGTCACTCTAGTCTGGAAGATCTAAATGGTGTATTTTGGAAAAGTGTTATTCTTTCAAAAAATGTATCTGTCTAAAACTGTTCACTGGATTCAACCAAACACTTGGTCAGGATCCCCATTTTGAGACACTTAGACACATCCTGTGAGACGTGTCTCCCTTCTTAAACCTCAAGCTTGACATCTCCCAAGGTGGGATCATACACTTGGACTCCAAGCGTTGGGCTTCAGCTCTGTTGTGCTAACTGCGGTTAGCTTTGCAGGCCTGCCTTTTATTTGGGACCTGTCATTTGGTTCCCTCCAGAAATTACGTTAATAACCAAACAATCTTCTTAAAATAACAGGAGTTTGTTGAGAACACAAGAATTTTAGAAAACAAAACCCAGACCATAAAGCAATAAACAAACTATTCCCATATGCAGCTAACTGAGCATGTCTATTTACCCTCCCTAGAGGGAACCTCAATATTTTTAAGATTCCTAAAACTCATCCTTCCCTGCCTCTCCACAGGGGACCTCCAATCTGGATAGCACAGTTTCTCTTCTTAACTCACTAACCTTCCTGAGTCTTTAAAAATGTCTCTGTCTTTTGTTTGTAGCCCTTTGATCTGGTCGCTCACTACTCCAGCAAAGTGGCTTTCAGCTGGTTGGAGACAGGAAATAGGTTTCACGAAGCTATTAGCTTTGGCCATTGTTTTTTAAGTGTGTATAAGGTGTTTTTTAATCCAGGAACCCTTGTGATTGCTTTTGTGTTTCGTTCCAGCAGTTCCTATTAAACTAGGGTAGTTTAATTTGACAGGAAAGTCTAATGACTCATTGTAGCCACAGAGTGACTTAACTCCACTAACCTGATTACACACTATATTTACTGAAATAATCCAGAATTAATACGCAATTCTTAGCTTGTCACATAACAGCTTCACATCTGTGACTTTGCTGACACTCAGGCCTTGTTTGCTTTGCATTGTCATAGGGAGGAAGGGTGAATATGGGGTTTTGAGAGTAGCTATAGACAGTCCCTGTGGGTTAGTTCAGTCATGTCAGGGCTTGAGTTTTCATGAGGTTATTATAGGCATGAAATAGCACCACAGATTAATAAATTTGATTGGCACTTCCCATTATAAAAGATCCATTCGGCCATTCAAGCTGTAACTTCTCTTGTGGATATCTGTCTGTGTGGAAAATTTCAGACAAAACTTTGGAGCTGTTTCAGAGAACAAGGCTGAGGAAAAACACAATCTTTTGCCCACATTAATAACAGCTCTAGAAACCATTTATCTGAAATACTTTAGATAGCTTATCTTGTGGAGGAGGGGCTTGAGACTGAGAGAAGGCAGGGAAGGAGAGAGAAGACCTCTAGTGTGGATGACTTGGGGCGTGCGTCATCCTTGCACGATGGCATGGTGCCATCCCAGGCAGAAGATAAGAACTTCCTCTCCACATCAGTGTCAGAAATAATGGTAATTTTTGAGTGGGGCACAGTGAACTTAAGATGGCAAGACCCACATTTGCCATCTCAGTTGTTTCAGCTGGCTTGGAGTCAATTGCCAGCTACGCTGAGGTGTTTCCCTTCTCAGGCGGCTCCCAAGAGAGCGTCTCTACAAGCAGGATGTGTTGCATGTGCCTAGGTCTCCCTTTAGTGGTGATGTGCAGCAACTATAACTGCCTGGGATTGATCCTACCTGCAGGGATCAATTCGGCAGAAGTAATGGGGCTTTCACTGGTGGTCATGGGTGTGGTCTGATTCACACTTCCACAGTTAGCTAGCATGCTTTAAAATGCATCCTCCCTATGCTTCATCAGGCCAACAATCAACAGGTGAGAGGCAGGACACGACAGGGTATGAGGTTCTGGCCAAAGAAGAGTAGATGATCAGTAGGCTTTGGAGCAGGGGAAAGGTGTGCTATCCTTCGATAGGTGGAAGAGCTTGGCAGGGGTGGGGGATTTGGCTGTAAAGGGAAGAGACATGGAGGAGCTTGGAGTTGTGAAGGGAACAGAGCTTCTAGTGGGAAGGCAGAAGATGAGGAACAAAAAGCAGAATTTTCTTAGTTCCTGTCCTTCACTAAAAAAAACCTGAGGAGAAAAATGTTTATAGTGACAGAACCAAGTTTAAAGATTTATGTGGCAAGACTTGGTACTAAAATTATGAAAAATTCAGTAGCTAGTCACTACAGAACTGCTGTGAGCCAAATTCTGAAAAGCCTTAAAATTTGCTTTTTTTATGGTGATGTTCAGTCCAGCACCTGCCCTCTCACCTGACTGTAACCATTCTTTGTTTTTTCACAGGATGGAGGTACTGCTCTTCTAGCTGCTTGTCAGTACGGGCATGCAAAAGTAGTGGAAACTCTGTTGAAGCACGGTGCCAACATTCACGATCAACTTTATGTAAGTTATTTGACACAGATAATATTGACAACACTGGTGGTGGAACAAATGTGCTGTTGGTTGGACAACAGCAGATGCTCTGGCTCCAGCACAAAGAAGCATTTGCCAAACGTTGCGGTTTTATAGTACTCTACTCTTCTAACGTGAATTTTGTTAACTGTCTGCTTTTCATGATCCTGGGAGAAGTAGCATAAAATCAGAAAAGATGTTTTGGCTGCCTTTTGATTCGTTACCTGTATGAAGGATATGTACCAAATCTGTATCAGATTTGTGCTATCCATTAGCCTTGAACAAAAGACATGTCATGTTCTACCACGATTTGCATTGCAGACAGAAGAGTGAATAGCTGTAAAGCCCTTGAGGTACTAGAGAATCAGTTCATCAGTTTTCTGCCAGAAAGAGTAGTAAAAGTTAAAATCTTTAAATATCTTTAAATTTTTTTTTTTTTAAATATCAGTTTAAATGATGTTATTTGGTATTTGTGCATTTCTAGCTTATCAGTGTTTTGGGCAAAGAATAGTTAAAATGGCTGAACTGATGTTGTTTAGTTCACTCTTCAGAAAGCTGGATTGAGCCAATGAAGCACTGGATTTAATTTACTCCAACAGAGACACAAATAAGTTGAGCTTTTCAGCATTCAACAGAAACGAGTGGCAGATTTTCCCTCCACTTCCCACCACCCTTTCCTACCCCAGGGCACTCGAGACTGACACAGAGGAAGTTGTTCCCCAGGGATATACAAGTTTTTCCAGCCATTTCCATGGGCTTTGGATCTGCAGGATGCTGTTGCGCTCTCAGCTCCCACAAACGTGCATGGGAGCCAAGGGCTGGTGACTGCACTGGGGGCTGTGCACTGGTCACACAGGGGATCCCCACCCCTGTGCTGCCCTGACCCTGTACTTACAAAGAAGGGTGTTCCACCCTCGCTGCTGTGCAAATAGCAATTGCCTTTCTAATTCATACCTCTGCACGGTAATCCCAGGGGTTAGCACTCAGTTTAAAAATAGCCATGCTGCCACACCTGCAGACACTTACCTAGAAGTGAAGGCAGAAAAATAACTTCCTTGTTGTCTCTCCTGGAAATGCGCGGTATTTGCAATTGGATTTAGAGATGTATTTTTATTGCTCACAGCCATTGGGCAAAACTATTCAGAAACAGCTACGTAATAAAATAAGAACACAATATCTTGAAAACAAGCATTAGCCTGGCTCCTTTTGTGGGACATCATCAAGCTGCTTTTTCAAAGTGGTATCTGGCTGGCAGTTTCACTGGCAGGCAGCCCAATGAGCAGGATTTCGAGCATGCATTTGGGTAGTCCTCCCAAAACCATCAAGGTAGATGTTTTAATCTTAAATAGACTCATGTGAGGGGTAGAGGAGAAGACAAGAGAATTCCCTAACTAAACAGTATTTCTTGCAGAAGTATCTCATAGCCTCAAAACAGCTTTCTCATTACAGCATCAATTCAAATCAAGTACAAAATAACTACTAATTAATTTTTAAAATGGTTGGATGATAGGGAACCCAAGGTTCTCCATCTTGATTGATGCTATAATAAAGAGCTCTTTTACTGTTACCCAACTTTGTTTACTTTCTAAATGGAAGTGTTCTTACTACTCCTGTCTCTGGAGGAAGCCTACAAAGGACTTGATACCATCACCCTATTTCATGTACTCGCATAGCAACCAGAGAAGACAGCCCCTCAGAGGGCCCAAGGTCTGCATTTGTAGTGCCAGCAGACACCTCTCTTGTTTACCAGGACATTTGTCTTGAAACCGAGGTCAAACATTCTAAATTCAGTCCCTGGGGCACTATATTCAGCTCATGCTTCACTAAGTCTGTGCTGAGTTTTGCAGGAAGAGGAGTAGCTAAGCAGTATCTCTCGACAGATAACAGCATTCGGTCCCAACATAGTGGTATGCCAACAAGGTCAACAAAAGGCTTCCACTAAAATGCCCTGTATTTTGTAATAAGCATATGCATAAATTGGTTGGAAGATGTGTACTTGTACATCTGAGATGCAGGAAGGGGTTCATTCATGTATCTTTTTAAACTAAAAGAGCCTCACCTCCTGGGGAAACTTGCCCTAGCATGCTCTGTGCTGAGCACTCTGGATATAGGATGGGTAAACACCTGTCCCACCCTCAGTGCAGGTTTCCACTTCCAGTTGGTTGGATGGATTCTAATGCTATTTGAAATTTTTTCATCAAAAAAACTTAATGAAATACGACTTTTAAATTTTTTTTCTAAGGAAAAAGCCTCTGTGAAGCCAAATGCTGAGAACATCTGCACATGAAAGACATGTTGAAGAAAAAATTTGTTCATTTCTCTCACATGCCTTTTGCAGGAAAATGCTGGTTTCTGATAGGGCTATGAGATACTCTGTCTTGTATGTGCTACTATTATATTACAGGTGAAGTCTCTTCTACAAGATGTGCCAGAGCAGTGGCATGGTAGTTGCTGGGGTGGCACAGCAATATGGCACAGTACTTACTCCTTCAGGCTTCAGTGCCGGAGTCTCCAGTTCTGCAAAGTGCTTGAACATGTTTTCACCATGTATGTGTCTATGTAGCAGAACACTTCTGCATGAACATATAAAAGCTAGAGGAACTGAAATAGATGTATTTTGCTACATAGGAATGGATTTCTTGTTATGTAGCTCAATGCTTCAATGAACTAGATTCTTAGTATTTCAGACCTGGGATTTAATGCTCGGTTTGGTATATGATGGGAGCCAGTACTTGTGCATGCTGAATGAAAATGTTATCGTAGTTTGCTATGAACTAGACTTTGGATTTTGGTAATTATTTCTTAAGCTTGGCTATATATGTGCTGTTACACTGCATAATGGCTTAAGAAGGAGAACTTGATTCAGTTTGATTTGGTTATGTATAGAAAAAATGGCATCATTTCAACACAGTGTAAGCTGGATGTATTTGTTCTTAGGATGGAGCTTCTGCAATTTTCCTGGCAGCACAAGGAGGCTATCTGGATGTCATCCGACTGCTGCTTTCTTCAGGAGCAAAGGTTAACCAGCCACGGCAGGTAAGCTCAACACTTCAGGGAAGAGCTGGGGTCTAATTACTACATTTTACAGTTATGAAAAATTAACACTGGATTAGAGAGATTTCCTAGGTTTTAAACTAACGGAGGGATACATAAGCATACATGATGTACAGAGACATATATAAAAGCTCTCTTGGTTTCCAAAAAAGGGTTTCTTAATTGCTAAGCTATTTCTTGACTCTAAAATCAGTGCTTAAACAGCACATTTAGATGCTGCTTTGAGTAGCCAGATGTGGGAGTTGCACAGCTAGCTTTACTCCCAGCACCTAGAAATGTCTGGTTAGAGACAGGGCTTCCCAGGAAGCTTTGCCTGCTTTGAGAGAGCCTCCCCTGTGGTCTGCTGAAACCCTGCAGGCAAAGTAGCTGTCCTGGCTCCTCACTGCAGATTTTAAATTGATGGGATAAGGTCTTGTCCTTGCAGTCAGTCATGTATGGCTGCCAGGTGGCTGTGATCACTGACTGCAGCACGTAAAAAATCAGCAGGCAGGAGCAAATGAATGTGAAAACTCTAATAACAGTGGACAACGTGGCATGTGACAAGCTTTGCCAGGTATTTTCAGTATTTCCTTTCACCTACACCAAAAAGCCTGACAAATCATAGCCTGGCAGCAGAGATTGATCTATATGACTTCTGCTGCATCTGTAGGTCTGCATAGCCTCCCTGCTACTCCTGTAGTGTAAGGAAACTGGATTAGCATTTTATGTGCCCACAGTAAAGTCATTTTCCTGCTGTCTCTTTCCCCACCTCTCCAGCACCAGAGCTGTGCTGGCAGCTACTCCCTGGACTGATGTTTTAGTTGCTCCTAGGCTACCTCCACACTGTCTCCCAAGATCAAGATTAAGAAATGCTGTTAAAAGCTGTTAATTAATGCAGTGGATAGACCAAGGTGTGCATTAATGCCTTTTGAGTCGGTCAAAATAAAGTTGGGGAGCCTTAGATTTAGCTCTACTGTGTTGCCATAAAAACTGCATTCTGCTAACCATAATTATAATGCCCCAGCTAATTCTTTCTGACAATATTTTTTTAGCTCTCTAATCCAATTTCTACAACACAATGTTTCATGAGGCATTTTTAAATCTTAGTTGAGGAAAAGACTTGACTCTGTGTGAATGTTCCTCCTGGCTCTGTTTCATCTCCGGCAGTACGGGCGTACTTTGCTTCAGGGTACCTCCGATCCCTGCTAAGATTATGCCTGGATAAGTCCATGGCATTTGTATTTGGGCCCACTGTAACCTGAAACATTTCCTTAACAAATGGAACATTTTTACTGTTTAATTAGCAAAGTAATGGTTGGATGGACTTCAGTCTCTTTCTTACTAACAAACAAATTTGTACTTTGTTCGAAGGTGGCATGTTGGTCACGAGGAACGTAGCTCTAGATGGGGCAGTTTCGATGCCAGATGATTCTCACTGTCAGTTACAAACCACACTGCTCTCACTGCTGTAGGAAACTTTTCTGAGCAACGTAACATCGAATACAGGGCTGCCCACAGCTACAGAGTGCCAGGTGTGAGTTCAAGCTTCTCCTTCCTCATGGTGTCCAAGTTTTCCTCTCTACCTTGTGAATTTGGGGGCTTAATTCATCTGCCTGAGCATGTGCATCTGCCCTGTATGTCTCCTCCTGCTGCTGCAGTGGGTACCGGTTCCCCTTCGGTCTCGTGCCCCATCTCCCAGTCCCACGGGGTTGCTCCTGACGCCATAGAGCATCTCGGATGGTGCTGGCTGTCCATGTGCAGGCGCTTCAGCTCAGCTCTCACGAGACTGAATAGCAAAGCTTCCTGGCGAGTTTCTTCCTGGCAATGTCATTTCTCTTGGTTTTTAGCCGCCTTCTGTTCTTCCTGACATTGCGGAGCCGGGCAGGAATCCTTTTGTCATCTTTTTGTCTAGACAGAGCTGGGGGCAGTGTCTGAAGCCGGGTGCGGGAGATGTTTCTTTGCTTCTCCAACTCAAAAACAAAGCAAGAAGATTATTTGCCAATGAATTTTATGTTCTGTCTTGGCAGCCCGTGTCCCAACAAACTTTAGGCTGACTGGCTAAGCAGATTCAAAATACTCTGAAAATTAATATTTTTTTCTTAACACATGATATGCAATTACACATATATGCAAGCCAGTAAACCTATATAGAGTGTAGACTTCAGACAAGCAAGCAATTTGTTATTAGCAAGAATTCAGCTGGTGTAGTGGTGCGCGTGGACTGATGGGCAGAACAGTGGAGGAGATGACACTGAGTAGCCTGAGAGTAGGTGCTCTCTGTCCCTGGAAGTCCTTACTGGGAATTTGAGGGGTATTTCACCTCCCACCCTAATCTGGCCCTTTCTAAAACTCCAGGCCACAAGCGAATACTGAGATTCAAAGCTGCAAAGCAAAGTCATTAGTTAATGGGTAAGAGAAAGTGCATCAGAAATTTCGGTCAGAGTATGTTTGGAAGTGCTGGCTGCTGGATATAACGAAATGTGATCCATATATATTAGCTTGTAATCAAATACAGAAATAAGCACAGCTTAAAAACATATGGGGTATTTAACATTGTTCTAGGAATATAATGGTCTGCAGTCTGCTGGGTGGGCAGAGGGACAAGGAAAGGAAAGTAGTTTTTGAACTGCGTCTTTCCCTGTTCTCACTTTCTTCCTCACTCATCTCCAAGCCCTAATATCTGTTTATACGGGAATTCTCATGTGGCCTCTTAGTACAATGTAGTGTCTCTTTTGCACCATACTCCGACATGAAAATGGACAGAAATCTCATCTACTCCGTATAAATATTATATGTATTTGCATAAACCTGCCTGTTAGATGCTGTTTGCTTCAGAGAGAGAAGCTGACAATAGTCAATGTGAGCCCACCATCAACTTCATCATCTTTCTTCTCTTCAGGCTAAGTCCTCCAACACAGTCACTTTCTCACAATGTAATTTTGCCTCTAGCCTGTAACTGAGATACTGAGGATGATGTCTAACAGCAATACTATTAAGGACAGTTAACGGTAATAGTGATGTTACCCAACGCTTGTATTTCCTTCTGCTCCTTTTAATTTGTACCTGAAAATAAGAGTTCTTACAAACTTTACTGTGAGTCAAAGAAAGCTGCTATGTTCCTCGTGCTGTGCTTGTGTACGCATTTCTTGTGTAAATAGAAGCGTGGATTTGCACAGCATTGGATCTTCATGCAGATTAAATTGTGTAGGCTGCTCTCAGATATTTTCCAAGTTTTATAGGCTTTTTCAGCGTCCCTATTGCTATTTTCTAGAGCCCTCTGGTGGGGGGAGATTAGAAAAAATACGAGGTGTCAGCTTACTGGTAGGGAAAAAACTATAAATTGGAAATAGTTTTTGTCATCACGCTAACATCACGTATGCTGTGTACAAGACAGCCTTTGTTATTTTTGAATCACAAAGAACACTCATTGTATTAACAGGATATATACTAGAATGAGGTCAGTCACTAATTTCAATGAGTTAATTTATAGAGAAATCATACAAGAGTGGGCAAAGATCCTGTTCCTCATCATTTGAGATTCAGAAAAAGGGAAGCCCAGAATATTATATCAAAGGAAGAAATAACTTTTCTGTTTCTTCCAAAGGATTAAGTCACTAGCCCATAGAAAGCAGAGAACTGGTTCAACAATGTTTTTTTGGGTTGCACGAGCAAGTCATATGAAACTTCAGTTGGCACTGAGGAGAGAGATTGCTTCTTTGATCAAGGTGGAAATATCTTATTTAAAGTAAAAAGTTGTTTTCTTCTGAAACTTCTCATTAAGGCTCTTTTGGAAGCCCCGGTATATTTTGTCTTCTTTTTTCCTGCCAAGTCTTCAGGCTGCTGAGGGTGGCGAGGGGAACCAGCAAGCGCTGAAGGCAGAAGCAGGCACCCTACTATGTGAGGGCTCACTTCTATGTTAAAGTCCATACAGGGAAAGCCTTTTATTAAAGGCCCACAAGAATCAATTTGGCACCACATAACCGCTGGAGTCCTCTTGTAGTCTGGATAATCAGGCCATTCAGAAGCAAAAGGAGGAAAAGCCACAAAACTAAATTCTAATTGCGGCGCGAAATACTTCTAGTGCTTCAACTTGCCTTTGCCTTTGGGATGGAAATCCATCACAAAGTTTAGCTTATTCTGAATGTGCATTTTATTTTCTGAGGTTTTCTGCTCAAATCATGATTGCACAGGACAATTTTTCCAAACCAGATTGTTTCACGCTGGATTCCTCGATAATTGCCTTGTTTTCTAGCGGAGTGCTTGAAGATAGAATTTGTGAAATACTTACCATCGCTGTAAGGCAAGATGTTTTTACCAGATTCCCTGAGGGTGGATAATGTAACTTAACACTGAAAATTGGTGATCATCTTGCATTGCTCCTTAGCTTCTATAAACAACTTCCACTCCATATGTACAGAGACCCAGCTGCAGAATCTGCCCATGCATGCTGAGATTTACCTGTATCTTCCGTCACGTCTAGCTACCTAGAGTTCAAAGTACACAGGATACCTTTGGCCTTTACATTTCAAACTTCCCTGTGTATTTTAGGCACGACTGGTAAGCCAAAGAGGGTTTTAACTGTTTGCACAGCAATGCACATTTCAGGCCAACTATGCGAGAGAAAGCAGCTAAGGTGGCTCTGCTCCACAACTGGAGCGGTTCTGACTTGATACACCGAGCTCCCGTGTGCTTTTGGAAGTGACTCTGCATATGTCTATCTGTGATGCCAGATTTTATTGAGAAATACGTCCATTCCAGTAGGCAGACTTGGGAGGTAAAATACCAGGGAGCACAGGATCTCAAAGTGAAACCTTTAGCAGCTTTATTTTGTTTGCAGGATGGGACGGCTCCCTTGTGGATTGCGTCGCAGATGGGTCACAGTGAAGTGGTGCGAGTGATGCTGCTCCGGGGAGCTGAGCGAGATGCCGCGCGGGACGTGAGTAGCACTTCTTCCTGCGCTCTGTCTGCAGCTTAACACCTCCTAGCTTTTTTTGAGGCTGCAAGTCTGCCTGAATGGAGGCCTGGTGTCCCCAGAGTCCGTCTTGTTTGCCAGGCTGTAAAGTCTCAGTGTGGGCTCCCTTTTTCCTGTTGTGTTTGGGACAGCTTCCTGGAGGGACCTCCTGGAATAAGGGAATGGAAATGTACATATAAATGAGAGGCAAAGATGATATACAGTGTCACGGGTTCATTTTACCCTGAAATTTTCACCTGCCAGAGGAACAATCCTCCAGATGCCCTAAAACCAGCATATGCTGTGGGGGTGCCTCCTCAAAGACAATGAGCAGAAGAGACCCTCCTCTGAGAGGTGTGGGGAGAGCTGATGTTTCCCTCCAGCCAAGGGGAACACGGGTAAAGTATTGGTAACAACTGAACTGACCTTCCTCTCTCTTTTAAAGGACGGTACGACTGCTTTACTGAAGGCTGCCATTAAAGGGTACAACAATGTGATAGAAGAGTTGCTGAAATTCTCTCCCACGCTTGGCCTGCTGAAGGTTAGTAGTGAAACACACAGATTTTTAGGCAGAAACTCAAGAAGGCAAAGGGTCTGATGAAAGACCTGACGTTTATGACTATGCCAGTGGAAGACAGTAAGGAGCTTGAGCCAAAAAAAGTGAAGAGGAAAATGAAATTATCTTATTTAGCCTTTAATGCCACACGCAGAATCTTCTCAAATGAAATTGTGAATTTGATTTTTGGAATGAGGAAGCTCATTGTGTCGTAGAAGGAATTCTCCTGCTTTTCATCATCTGATTTTATTTCTACAGTAAATGGATTGCTCTCGATGGTGCAGTTTTTAGCATTATGCCCTGCCCTCTGTTGAATTCAGTCAGCAAAATAGTATCCTAAGAGATCTGTTTTGAGCAGATTCTCTACTGGATTTTGTTCTCCTCTGAAGTCAAAAAGTGACTTGAAAAATAACAGATATTTGGAAGCTGCTTTTTTAACAGCTGATCTAATTTTATGTGCCTATAAATCACACACTTTGATAGCCTCTGTGCATGCAACTAATTGGCAATTTTGATGTACTTGAAAATCCAGGTGGCATTAACTTAGTTGTTAATTACAAGTATGAAATAGCTTCCACACTTACTTGAACTGTCAGTTTGCAGCCACAAACAAAAGGCCAGTCATAAAAAAATCACCATTCAGCTGTCTGACATTGAGATCATTAATCATCAGAGAAAGAAGATAAAATGCACAGATGGTTTCCATTACTGCTTGTGCTTCTGTTTCACTTGCTAATGGCTGATTTTGCCAGGCAGAAGCAAGTGCTGTGTTCATTTCACCTCTGATCTATTGACAAGGGTAATTTTTAAAAGGAAATATTGCTGTGGTAAAGTGAACTTGACTCTCATTTTTATTAAAGCATTTAAAATCCTTCGTAGCCCCCTAGCCTGCCAGCACCCTGTCTAAATCAGACCCTGTACCTTTGATGACCTAATCTCTTCCGTGTTACTTCTTTCTTGTTCGTAGGCTTGTTCTTTGCAAACGTTTGTGTTACACTGCCTGTTGATTGCTTCCCATGCACGGTAAAAACATCTCCTTTGGTATTTTCTAGAACGGGACCTCTGCTCTCCATGCGGCCGTCCTGAGCGGCAACGCGAGGACAGTGGCGCTGCTCCTTGAAGCAGGAGCGGACCCGGGCCTGAGGAACAAGGTATGTCCTGGCACCCCGTCCCGGGTGAGGAGCAGGTGGGGAGCACCCAGCGGCGGAGCCGTGCGTGCCACGGAGGCGGTGGCAGTCCACATTTCTGTGTCGGTCCGCGGTTGCCTCTTGATCCTCTCCTGAAGCACCACCATTCGGTCCATTTGTTTCTGTAAACAAGCATCTATAAGGGTGCTAGGCGGTGCCACTGGTGATGCCGGTACTTGTGAAGTTACATCAATCTGAGAATAACCAAACCATGCACTCGCTCACTCAAGAACCACAGATTAAATTGTTAACTATAGCTACTCATGGGCTAGCTAGGTTGCATTTTAGGGAAACAGTAATCCGTCACTGTTTTGATAAGTCATAAGTTATATTTGTGTCTCGTGAGAAATACGCAAGGAAGATATTTCAGCAGCAAGAGAAATATATATCTGGGTGCCTTTGGTAAGAAAACTTGGTTAGGATTCAGCACATTGCTAATGCAAAGAATATCTCAAATTACATGCATCTTTCCCATATCTACTCTAAATCTGTTAGTTTATTGAAATAGTTTCACATTCATTTTATGGCAGCAACTTTTCTGCAGAAAACTTGTCTTGTTTTTATTCTGTAAAGTGTTTTAACATAACATCTTTGATAATTTCCATGAAAATGTTTTCTTCTGAGTTGTGTTTATTTGCCACTAGTATTTGATATCTAGCTGCATTTGTTAAGCTATGAATGGGTGGTCTGGTATTTACTTCTGGTTTATGATTGGGTGAATCAAAGTTGTAATACAAGTAATCCAGCATATACCTTCTAAATGTTTTCGTCATTCAATATAAAATCTGTGCCTGTTACTTCTGTATCATTCCACGTGATGGCGGCAGAGTTAATGCCTCTCATACAGTAGTTCGTGTTAATAAGCATTTTGGTTTGATACTATCATCCAAACAATGTGCAAGATTTTTCTTCTACTGACAGTGATTTGCAGGAGGGTGTGCAGTATAAGAAAGTCTGTGGCTGTAACGTCTCCTACTGATTTTTTTTTTTTTTTTTTTTAAATAACTTGCAATTTGGCACAACAGAGTACATTTGCAGGACAGAATTACTGATTTTCAGAAGTAGCTTCATTATAAATACTTTATGTTACCAAAATTGTATTCAGTAGATACGGAAGACCAGACTCTGATGTTCTATTATTACCAAACCTACAGAATAGCACTGACTATTTCATAGCAATTAAGGTCTTTCCTTGGATTTTTATGGACTTTGGTGCTTAAAGACCTGCCTCATCTCCCCCCAAAAAATCAGCAGCTATGTTCTCTTTTAATTTTGTGGCAGAAGCATAGGGAGCCCAAGGGATACTGTTAAGCCTGGACAGTCAGCACAAAATAAGCTGACCACTCAAATCCCATGCTGGGATTATTTTGAAGACTTAAGTGAGACTTGCACACTGTGTGGAAAGGTGACTTTTTAAGATGTCTCCACCAGTGGTGGAGACAACATTGGAATAAGCATGTCGTTATAATGCCCAGTACCATCTTCTTTAGAGTTTAATGCTTTTAAGCCATGTTTTGGAAATATTTGTTCATTTCTGCTAACCTCAAGGTGTTTTTGTTCCAGGCAAATGAGCTGCCAGCAGAACTAACAAAAAATGAACGCATCCTCCGACTCCTCCGTATGAAGGAAAAACAAAGGAAAAGCTAATGCAGCCCTGTAGCAAATGCAGTTTGAGAGAGATGTGCCCTGACCACAGTAGCATGACAGTAAACCTAGGTTGCCCGAGAAGGGCTTGATGGAACAGTTTGCAGAACTGATTAGCCTCTCCAGTACACGCTCCCTGAACGCACGAGGCCCTTGCCACGGGGTCGCCACGGGCTAGGGCCTCCGCCTGGCATCGCTGAACGCAGAAGGACTGCCATGGGAGCAGGGTTTGGCCTGGCAGCTGCATTTGCACTGCAGCCCTGCCTGTACTCCAGGATCCCACCGGACCCAGCACTGACGTTTGCTCCTCCGCACCTGCAGCGTACGCATCCCCGCACGCGCGAGTGCTCCCGCCGTTTCAGACACGCGTCCCCATACGGGCATGGTCGCGCTCCTGTAATGGGTGTCTCGGGGTGCATGCGTGGGTCGGGAGCACTCGGTCCTTATGCCAAAAGGATGCCCAGACCTCACAGCTGTTTGGATGCAGTTGGTCCTGGAGCAGCCCCACGGTGCCGCTGCCCTCCCTTTGCTGGCAGAGCTAGCTCTGACCATCCCCCTCTACCTCCAAGTGCCGCATGGGGCTGGAGGTGAGATCCCACCTCCAACATCCCGACAGGAAAAGTCCTCCTGCCAGCCCAGGGCTTTGGTAACATTTTGGCTACTACATGAAACTCCATAAAAATGATCCAGAGCGTTACAAATTATGCCAAAAGCTACCAACCAAACAATAAGCAAGATGTCCTCCTCAGTTGTACCATCTTGATCTGTCAATCTGTCCAGCAACAGAAACACAGGGGAGCAGTTGGTAGCATTTTGCGATGCCTACGCAGTGCTATGGGGATCCATCCCCAACCCTACAGTCTACCTACAGGCATTTTTGTGGGTAGGGGAGGACCGGTTACTGAGCAAACCAACCAGGGCATATCATTCACTGGTGCAAGTACATCAGAAATTTAGCTGTCGAGCACAACAGTACAGATGCTATACAAGTAGTATACGTATGTTCTGCACACGCATGTATGTGACACTATGGTTTAGTACCCACAGCTACTATGCAATGCACTTGTTCCCCAGGTCTGGGACAGGAGTTAAGGGAGAAGTGTGCAGTGTACAGGTATTTCAACAGCTAGTGAGAGGGTTACATGTAGCCACACTCGAAGAGGCCCACTAATTAACATGGCCATGGAAAATGAACTTGCAACAGCAATTTTGGCCTTTGTTGTGGTTGAGATGCTTCGAGATGCTACTAGTGCCTGTGTGGGGAAGGCAGTGCAAATTGTAGATGGTTTGTGAAGAGCTATGTTGTAACCATGTTGCTCTAAGATACCCCATTAAAACCCAGTCATTTTTGCAGTATAAACGGTATATACTACGTCTCATTAGCCACAAAACCATTACAGATTATTTTACAGTGAGTTAAGGTATAAAGTTAGTTCAGTATATAAATCCAGGCACTTCACCTGCCTTCAAACCTTGGCAAATTACTGAAAAATTGCTTTAAAAGCTGAAGACAGGGAAGATTATAGGGAAACAAAATATTCCCTGCTTAAAAAATGTCTGCTTAGGATTCAGCTGAACTGTTGCACTTTTGCTTCAGTGAGTTAAAAAAAAAAAATCTTTTAGTGAGCTAGCACAAATGAATGTAGTTTACTTAGTGCAAATTAGCCATATATACTACCAAATCATAAAGTTATTCTTTTTGTGAGTAAGTTAGGTAAGAAGTCAGGGTTCTGGTGAAGAGAACAGAAGTGGGCGTACCTTTGCTTGCAAGCTGGAATTGCTATTCAATTTCTATTCAGCATTAGAAAGGAAAGCTTTAAGTTTTCCAACAATATGAGAAGATGCCAGAAAAATCTATTTGTTTCAGTAATTTATGCTGCTGTATTTTTAAATTAAATAATGTTGTGCCTAACAGAAATGTGCAGACAAACTGGTACAGAACCAAAGAATTATGCAAGATGCTTAGAGGATGACTGCATCCAGGGTTAAGTTCTGCGAAAGACTAAAAAATACTGAGCATGCAGAAATCTCAAGAGCCTTATTGGGAACTTAAGTTGTACAGCATTACATGGTACTGGACTCTAACTTCTTTAACAAGCAACACTGGAGAGAATAGGTTTATTTGGAGCCGCCAGTGGGTTGAAGATGAACATTTTTTTTTGGAGAACACTAGAGGGATTCTAGGCAGCCTGGCCTCAATATTGATCTTTCTCCCTAAAGTTTCTTCAGATCAACAGCTGGGAACAACCACAGATTAACCACATCTTAAGATGAAAAGCCCTTTCACAGTTGTAAAGGAGGAGGATAATCATTAGAAGGTCTTCAGTAGTCATGCTGGGTGAGCAATAAATACTCTTAATATCAGACAGGCTGTAATGGTCAAGCAGTCTTCCTAAAAAATGTGGAAGCATCCACTGTTGGTCTCCTATTTCTTCCTGATAGCAGAGCATAGGAGAGAGGACAGGGCGAGCCAACAGTTGTCCTGTGACAGCTGAAGTAAGCGAGCTGAGACAACAACATGCAGGTGTCCAGTATCTGCAGGTGGTCTCTCCTTTCTGCCAGCTGTATTTTCTTGTGAGAGTGGTCTCACCCCAAAGGGGGCAGCTACTCAGCAAAGAGCTTCTTCTAGAGCTATACCTGTCCAGGGGAAGATGCATGTCTGCTCCCCACCATTCAGAGTAGGACTTTCCAAGACGTGTGTACAGCTGCCTCCATGACTGGCCACCACAGCCAGGGCTGTCATGCAACAAGCGAAGAACACCTGGGATGCTGCGTCCCGTACAGAGCATCTGCTGACCTTCTTCTGAGAGGATGCAGTTACCAGTGATACTGGGCTATAACTGGCTTTTCTTATTTCTGAACAAAATTTGAAATGTGGAGCTAGCACAGATTGAAGGGAGAGGCTTGTAGCTCCCTCCTTGCTCTCATTAGTGCTGGCTGATACGGCACACAGGCTGTGTGTGTGGGGCTCCGTGGTGGAGAACCGGCAGCGAAGTCTTCTTCTGCCGTTCAGGCTGAAGTTGAATCTAGCTTCAGCAAAGACGGGATTTTTAGGCATGGAAACCTTCCCGTTGGGAGCATCTGTTTCATTCTCGGAGCCTTTGGAGAGAGGGCTGGTTTTAGTTTTGGGTTCCCTGTAACCAAAAGGTGCTTATTTTGCCTGTAGATGGGCTTGAAAGTTGCAATACTGTTTCTCATCATGCAATTGACCTTTTCACAAAGAAACCTTAATAATTCTTAGTATTTATGTAGCTGCTGTTATCTTTAAAGTGCTCAGTAAATACTGCTGTGGTTTGTTTGTTGTTCTAAAATGGAAACCTACTTTCCCTTTGTGGCTGAAGTGATTCACTAATATTGACAGTAGTTCTTTGCATAGTTGTCGTGCCTTTTGTGCAAGGCTTTCAAAGTGCTCTGCAGGCACTACTACCTTTGTAAGTTCCAAAATGCATTGCTGGAGGAGGTAGGGAAATAGATGATTTCATTCACACACCAGTGAAATGCAGCAGCTGTTCATCAGTTCGTGTCAATAGACAACACTAAGTTTAGACTAGAAATTAAGGGGCACAAAATCAATTTCATAGATGGCAGGATGAAGGTAGGTACCATAGAACGATGTGAAATAGAACTGGGACAGGATAACAAGCTAATTTTTTGGGGGTTGGGTTTTGAGGTTTCTTTTCCCCAAAAAGTGACATATATATATATATATCCATCTTACACCCCCAAAAAATCAGTTCCAATAGCACACTGCTTTTAGGCTTGCCTCTCTGCACATTCAGATCCAGGGGCCCAGCCTGCTGTCCTCTCCACCTGGGATTTATGCAGGTGCCTTCCCTGGTGACTTCCCATCAGCTGCAAGTGAGTACAAAGAATGTGCAACCAAGAACAGGCTACACAAATGAGTCAAGGAAAAGTATAGGGCATCTTTCTTTTATTTCACTAGTATCAAGCCATTGTAGGATGGGGATGAGCACAAGGAAAGGCCCATGAGGTACAGCGAGAAGTGGCATCCCATCAGTGACATGGTAGTGGTGTAGCCTCAGAGGTCCCAAATACATGGAGCTCTTCATTAAAGATGATCACTACAGTGCAGTGTGCAGGGACATCTATTTAGTAATGATACAAAAGGCAATGCTGTACCTCCTGACTTGCACATGCTGTTCTTCCCTTGGAGCTAAACCATCTCACTATTGATCCACCCACCTTTGTTTAGTTTAGAAGAGCTGAGAGGATTAGAGCACCAGATCAAACAGTTGCAGGTCATATTTAATGCACTTTAACAACAATGATTATTTGCCTCAGAGTCAGAGCCTAATTGCAAGAATAATTCGCAGCTCTTTATTCAGCCAGTCATGGTGACTACCGGGAAATCCATAAGTAAACCAAATCTCGTGTTGTCTCAGAAATTTCAAAATTGTTGTACAGAAAATGTGGTAGCACAAACCCCAGCCCATTTGTACTTCTCTTAATATGAACACTGAACAGACATAAAATACTGCCTTTGTCTGGAACCCTTGAGTCAGCAGTGCTAAAATGTTCACGTTTGCTACCTGTCCAACCGAAGATTATACACAAGGCTCTTTTTTCCAGCAATGGAATATTGTACTGCACACACGGGACTAAATGGAGTTGTGCCTTCTCACAGCAGCTCTGCATTTGGTCCTTGGGAAATGACAGTTTCATACTTTTCTGAATTCCACAGTTTGTTTTGACCTGCCCTTTTATGCATTTGATAAAACCTGTATAAATTTATGTAACTATGTGTAAGACTAATATTCTGCAACAGGAATGTTGCTTTGCTAAAACACATTTTTCCATACCATGATTTCAATAAAAATTAATATACTACTGGGATTATCTTGTCTGCATACTTCAGTATTTCTTTCTTTTCTTCTGTATTCTACTCTTCCTCTTTGTAGAATACCAGAATTAATTTCCTATTTACATAAGGACCACTTTGTTCTATTCCACTCGATTGATTAGACTTTTATTATTTTCCAGGT